AGGGCCAATCAAAGATGGAAAACACAGCTTTTTAAAGCATGGAACGTTCAGCAACTTGCCCAAAGGTGCCAATAAAACTATTTAAGCTGACAAAATCTTTTCAGGTTTACACATGCCCACAAGAGTTTTCAACATATCATATGAAGTGAGAACAAGAAATTATGTGGGGAAAAAGAAATGCTAAAAAATTTACAATGCCACCAACACAGCTGAGTGCAGTGGCTCACGCCTGTAATCCCAACACTTTGGGAGGCCAAGGTGGGCAGATCACTTGAGGTCAGGAGTTTTGAGACCAGTCTGGCCAACATGGTGAAACCCCGTCTCTACTAAAAATACAAAAATTAGCCAGGTATGGTGGCACGTGCCTGTAATCATAGCTACTTGGGAGGCTGAAGCACGAGAATCACTTGAACCCGGGAGTAGAGACTGCAGTAAGCCGAGGTCGTGCCATTGCACTCCAGCCTGGGCAAGAGAGGGAGACTCTGCCTCGAAAAAAAAAGAGCCACCAACGTGGAGTTTCCTTCTAAATCAAAGATATAAGTGACAGGCATAGTCATAAATCTGGGCTTTAAATACATTCACACCTACAAGTCCAGAAAGGTCACTATAGCTGTTCACATCCAAACCGGGGCCTGAAAGAAAGCCATCAAGTGACCGTGGTGCCAGCTCACCATGCTGTCGTCCTCCATATCGTTGGCTGAGAGGGTCCACAGCTTGGCAGCAGCAGGGTCCACAGCAGGCTTCACTGAGTCCAAGCAATAAAAGAAAAAAACTCCATAAAAACAGTCAGAAACTATTAATTACAAACATACCTAAATGCTTTCTGCTGTGTAGAAAAGAACACACTGGCCTGGGAGGCAGAAGATGTGGGTTCAAAGTCCAGCCCTACTCCTGTAAGAGGTCTGACCTTGGGCCAACCACTTTCTGGTAGTTACAGCAGTCACCATTTGCTAAGCACTTGCTTTGTACCAGGCACCATATTAAGCACTTTATATACATTATCTAACTTAATTCTGCTGACAACCTTATGAGGTAACTGTCATCCTAGTTTTACTGCTGAGGAAACAGGTTTAGACACTTAGGCTGGTTCCACAGGCTGCAAAGTCTGTCTGATGCTTTTAATCTCCATTCCATATTGCTTCCTCCTTGATACCTTAGTTTCCATCCTATAACATGAAGCTAAATCGTACTCCCTATGTTACTGCAGGTGTTTTGAGGATTAAACGAGAAATGTGTCAAAACCTTTAAAAATAGCAGAGCTTTATAGCCTCATGTAAACCTGCTACATACAAGAAAATAGGCTCTAGAGCTGCTGGTGGCAAGGTAACACCATCAGTGGAAGACAAACCTCACACCTCCTGGTTCTCTGTCTAGTCAGGAGAATGCAAGGAACAGCCCAAGAGCTGAGGCTCAGATGCAGTGTGCGCAAATCCTCGCAGGCCCTTGGGGTAAGAGTACCCTCCAGTGATCGTTGTCACAACTGGATGCTCACACCTGCCACAGTGCCAACTGTTCTTCTAAGCTATTCCTACTCATTCTGGAACCATGAGTCGAAAGGTTAGATTCCAAAGGATTTCTTGAAGATTTAGGTTAGACGGTCAAAACCGTACAAGTGGAGATGTACCAGTAAATATCTGTAAATGTGTGCATACCTCACAGCTGGGTCAATTTAGGCATTTAAAAATAGTAATAGGAAGGATGAGCATGGGGCAGTGTGGGTGTGCACGTGTGTGCGCGTGTGTGCTTGTACACAATTTTCTAGGCAGAAGAAATACAGTTTGTAAGTGTCTTAGCATCCTCAAAGAAAGAACAGCTGGTTTTTCTGGCATAGGGGAAAAAAGCACATGAAAAGAGGAACAGGGCACTCTCATCTGCCATTACCACTACACTGTGAGGTCTTCTGAGGATAAACGTTAATTCTGGGACCTGGAAGGACTTCATTAATTAAACTGTGTGACTCAGTCCTGTAGAATTAGGAGGCCTCAGTATCTTCTGGTGCAGAAGAAGGAGCTGAACTAGGTAATACCTATGCATTATTTCAGTTTGGGATCCTAATATGCCCATGATAATAGTACATTAAGTATTCTTCTATAGTGGAAATGGCAGAAATCAAAGGACTAATCCTCTAAAAATATCACCATTTCATTTATTGCTGGCTCAATTTCTAACATGTCCCTCTAAGCCCATTCAAACAGAAGAATGTCCCTAGGCCAGCCTTACCTGAAGGAGAAGACTTCTTGGTGATGGAAAGCTTAAGCTGACTAGAAGAACCCACTTCAAAGTTTGGTTTTTTGCCTGTGATCTGAACAAACAGCAGATGGTCACTTTCATGACCAAGGTATTCTCGAACAGACTGTACTTCCTCAGGGGTTAGGGGCTCCCGCTGCAGCTAGAATTCAAGACATCAAAAGGATTAGTCCACCCTCCTCTATAAAATGGTTTACTATGTCTACCTACACAGGAGTTAAAGACTCATTTCTGTGCATTAAATATATAACAGTAGATGGTAACAAATATAGGCCTTTATGCCTCCCACTTTATGCCTCACATTCAGTTTCTCACTGATAGGAACCCTAGAGTATAACCCTTGTCTGCATGTTTACTTGGAGCCTACCCCTTGGAAAATGTAAAAGTAGTTATAAAATATTAGGTATGAGGCATATGCTAGTTATTGTACGGGATGTAATATAATTATGAAAATGAACCAGATGTAGTCTTACTGTGTAACAGGAAAGAATGCCCACAATGAACACAGCAGAAATTTATATCCCAAAACACAAAGGGGGAGCAAAATCCTTTCTATGTTCCTTGGGATAAAGTAGCAGAGAGTAAAGGTAGAAAAAAAGGGTTAGGGTGCCACCTCTATGTCCAATAATTATAGACTGGTTACATAAATCATAGTCCATCTATTGCATGGAATACTATTACATCATTAATATGAATGAAGGGAAATACACTGAAGTGGGTAAGTGTCTATGATATCTAAGGGTGAGAAAAAAGCTGGTGATTGAACAATGTATGCATATGATCTTATTTAAATTTTTTAAAAAGTATGTGCATGTAGATGCTTGTAAATACATAGGAAAGGTCTGAATGGACATACAAAAAGGCACTGGTGGCTTCCTCTGGGGAAAGAAGTGTGAGCAAGGAGTAGGATGTCACTTTATATTCTGTATGCTTCAGTATAAAGTGAATTTTTATGAGGAGTCTGATATAGTTTGGATATGTGTCCCCTCTAAATCTCATGTTGAATTGTAATCCCCAGTGTTGGAGGTGGGGCCTGGTGAGAGGTGACTGGATCATGGGGGCAGACTGCTCATGCATGGTTTAGCACCATCCGAATTCTCATGGGACGTGGTTGTTGTAAAGTGTGGCACCTTCCCCACCCCAACTCTTTCTCTCTTTCTTGATCCTGCCTTTGCCATGTGATGTGCCCTGCTCCTGCTTCACCTTCTGCCATGAGTAAAAGTTCCTTGAGGCCTCCCTAGAAACCCAGCAGTTGCACGCCCATGCTTCCTGTACAGTCTGCAGAACAGTGAGCCAATTAAACCTCTTGTCTTTACAAATTATTCAGTCTTAGGTATTCCTTTATAGGAACAGAAGAACGGTCTAATACACATTCCTTATTTTAAAATCAAGCATAGAAAACCTTAAGCTAAAAGGAAAAATAAGAAAGCGTTGGCATAAAGAATCTAAGGCCTGGCAGGATGCAGTGGCTCACGCCTGCAATACCAGCAATTTGGAAGGCCGAGATGGGTAGATCACCTGAGTTCAGGAGTTCGAGAACAGCCTGGCCAACATAGCGAACCCCTATCTGTACTAAAAATACAAAAAATTAGCTGGGTATGGCAGTGCATGCCTGTAATCCCAGCTACTTGGGAGGCTGAGGCAGGAGAATTGCTTGAACCCAGGAGGCGGATGTTGCAGTGAGCAGAGATAGTGCCACTGCACTCCAGCCTGAGCAACAGAGCAAGACTGTCTCCAAAAAGAAGAAAAAAAAATTTTTAAAAAATAAAAAATAAAGAATGTAAGGCCCTACGTTATGTAAGAAATAACAGGCACAACAGCTATCATGCTGTAACATTTACCTCTCCCACATCCAAGAAAATTTTAACATCAAAGAGTATAGAAATATAAACACTTCTACTTAATTTAAATATTTCCACTGAATTGTCAGAAAAGGAACTTTGTCCCCTAACCTATTCCAGCCTCCCACCAAAAATGTGAGGCTGAACTAGGTGACAGTGTTCACCCAGGCCTAGGATTCCGGTCTACTGAGAGGTGGGTGTTGGAAGCAACAGAGCTGCTGCTCATGCCCCTCAGCTGTCACTACCACTAAACTAGTACCAAGGAGACAAGAACAAGCCCCAGTCCACATGGGCAAGTTGAGTCTCTTCGAAGTTGATTATTCTCACAAGTTTTTTTTTTTTTTTTTGAGACAGAGTCTTACTCTGTCGCCCAGGCTGGAGTGCAGTGGTGTGATCTCGGCTTACTGCAAGCTCCACCTCTTAGGTTCACACCATTCTCCTGCTTCAGCCTCCCAAGTAGCTGGGACTACAGGCGCCTGCCACCAGGCCCAGCTAATTTTTTTCTATTTTTAGTAGAGACGGGGTTTCACCGTGTTAGCCAGGATGGTCTCAATCTCCTAACCTCATGATCCACCTGCCTCGGCCTCCTAAAGTGCTGAGATTACAGACATGAGCCACAGTACCCGGCCTATTCTCACAAGTTTTGTCCTTTGAAGTATCATGTATCTTACATGCAAAGCATTTCTTGTTTCCTAGTTCTAAGCAATACTGATTACCTCAACTGCAGGGCATCAAAGAAAGTTGTCTACAAACATACCTCTTTCACTTCCACAAGACCAGAAAGAGTCAGGGCTGAACACAGCTTAGATGCTGTCTTCACTTTGCTATTGTTATCTGCCGAAAGGAAAATCTCAATTAATAGCTTTATAGGTCAAAGCAGGAAAAATAATAAAGGCTCAATCCTAGGTGGGTTAGCAAGCATTCAAACAATAATAATCAGGTGGGCGTGGTGGCTCATGTCTGTAATCCCAGCACTTTGGGAGACTGAGGTGGACAGATCACTTGAGGCCAGGAGTTCAAGACCAATCTGGCCAACACAGCAAAATCCCGTCTCTACTAAAAATACACACACAAAAAAAAGCCAGGCGTGGTGGCACATGCCTGTAATCCCACCTACTTGGGAAGCTGAGGCATGAGAATCACTTGAACCCAGGAGGTGGGGGTTGCAGTGAGCCAAGACTGCACCACTGCACTCTGGCCTGCACAACAGAGTGAGACTTGATCTCAAAGAAAAAACAAAAAACAAAACAAAACAAAATAACCTATTCTGTTTAATGTACAGATGGTCCCTGACTTAATGATGGTTCTACTTACAATTTTTCAACTTTTATGATGGTGTAAAAGTGATACCCATTCAAGTAGAAACTGTATACTTCAGTTTTCACTAAACTACATGAGATACTCAGCACTATTATAAACAGGCTTTGTGTTAGATGATTCTGCCCAACTGTAGGCTAATGCAAGTGTCCTAAGCATGTTTAAGGTAGGCTAGGCTAAGCTAAGCAATTACGTTTAGTAGGTTAGATGAATTACATACATTTTCGTCTTAATAGCATTTATCAGGACGTAACTCCATTGTAAGATGAGGACAACTGTATATACATTTTAGTGATACTATTTTATTATTATTATTATTTTTGAGACAGGGTCTCACTTTGTCATGAAGTGTAGTGGTATGATCTCGGTTCATTGCAGCCTCGACCTCCCAGGTTCAAGCAATCCTCCTGCCTCAGTGCCTACCAAGTAGCTGGGACTATAGGTGGGCACCACCATGCCTGGCTAATTTTTGTATTTTTTGTAGAGACGGGGTTTCGACATGTTGCCCAGGCTAGTCTCGAACTCCTGGACTCAAGCAATGCACCTGCCCTGGCCTCTCAAACTGCTGGGATTACGGGTATGAGCCACTGTGCCTGGCCATAGTGATACTATTTTAACTTGACAAACACTTTTTTTTTGTTCAAAGTGTTTTTACCTAAGCTCTTAAATGTTATAATTCCATTATTATTGTTTTTTTAATCACTCTCTGCTTCTTGAAACCCCTTCCAGAGGTTGTGAGATAATGACTATGAAAAGAAGCTTATGAACTGCAAAGTGCACAGAAATACAAGTATTCTTTCTGTATAGTTCTTTTTTTCTCTCTGTATAGTTCTGACTGAGACACTGCATTTAGTCATGTAAGGTTT